TTCTTTTTTTCTTTTTCTTTCTCTTCCTCCTACTACGTGTATATGATATATATGTATATGTATATATACATATATATATGTGTCTGTGTGTATAACTGGTTAATAAGTAATGTCAGAATTTCTTTTTTAATTCAAATAAGTATAACAATACTTTTGATATTTTATTGTTAACAAGTGATTAAATTGTCTTTCGATATTTTTAATATAAAAAATGAATGATATCGGAGATATGTATAGAAAAATTTTCATAAGAAATAATAGATTTTGATCAGGCAGTAATTTAATTAATTAATATCATGTCATCATTTTGTATATTAAAAAAATATATATAAACCGTTGTCGTATACGCGAGATACTTTTAATATAAAAAAGATAATTTCGATTTTTTGATTAATCCTCCTTTCCTCTTTCAAACGTCACAAGAACGCCACCACCCCCATCCGCCGCCTTCCCCCCTTAATATCTTACATTCTCACATAGATAAAGATAATTTTTCTACTTTTCAACTTATTAATTAAGAATATTATTTTCATTGATATTAATGTCGCGAATGTTCTTTCTCTTTGTCTTTTTTTTTTTTTCTTTTCTTTCTTTTAAAGCTGGTATTTCATGCCCGTCCAAACGGGTAAACGCGCTCTCTCTGTTCCATTTTTTTTTTTTTCCTTTGTAAATTTGGACCTTGATCAGATCCAATTCATCGGACCAATCTCAATAAAGTTTTTATATAAGAGAAAATATGTTTTGATATTATTTAAAATTAAAGGATTTGTCATTTTGATTAATATTTACAGAGAGATCATTTTGAAATTCAGATATAAATGATTCATTGTTAAAAGCTTTAAAAAGAATTTCTTGGATAGGTCTATAATATAAGTACTTAAATACATACGTACGTACGTACGTACGTACACACACACACACACACACACACACACACACACACACACACACACACACACATACATACGTAGGCATTTTATTTTTTTCTATATCAAGTTATAACTTTCGTCTATTGGGATAGGACGTGAAGATCGATCGACGAGAGTTTTTTTTCACTCTCTCTTTCTCTCTCTTTCTTTATCTCTTTTTTTTTTTTTACCGGTAGTCGTCGTCTCCCATCGTTCGCCTTTCGTGGAAACGTGTATGTATGTGCCACACGATGGCTTTGTAAAACTCTCAGTTTTCTCTCTCTCTCTCTCTCTCTCTCTCTCTTTCTGTCTGTCTGTCTGTCTGTCTCTTACTCTCTCTTTCTCTCTCTCTACGGCGTGCGTTACGAGTCCCTGACCTTGTCGATCCTCCAGCGAGCGATCGGTTGCGACGACGAGCGGTTAGAGACTCGTAGGAAGAAGAACTCCGCGTGCTTGTGTGTGCTTCTTCTTCTACTTCTTCTGCCTCTTCTTCTTCTTCTTCTTCTTCTTCTTCTTCTTCTTCTTCTTCTTCTTCTTCTCCTCCTCCTCCTATTTCTTCTTCTTCTACTCTACTCGCAGCGGGTGAATGAGCGCGCGAGGTCATCGCCGGAGGAGAACGATTTTTCGAAGATCCTGTCTTCTCTCTCTCTCTCTCTTTCTCTCTATCTCTCTCTCTCTCTCTTTCTTACTTTCTATCTATCTTTCTCTATTTCTTGCATTCATTCTCTCTCTCTCTCTCTCTCTCTCTCTCTCTGTCTCTTTCTCTCTTTCTACTCCGGTTTCGGTCTTTCTTATCTACGAGACAAGTACGATACATCGATTAAACTTGACAGCTCTCGCGCACGAGACAATTCTCACTAACGATTTCCGCGAATGGAAGACGAATTTTTTTTTTCGACCAACTTTAACTACAGAGAGAGAGAGAGAGAGAGAGAGAGAGGGAGCGATAATAATACTTGCTGTTTCAAATCAGCTGTTCTTAGTTTTTAATCCATGCTTTGAATAGTACGATGATATTAAAAAAATACAGGTTAAGAAGAAGAGAAAAAGAGAAAATGAAAGAGAGAGAGAGAGAGAGAGAGAGAGAGATAATAGTACTTGTTGTTTCAAATCAGCTGTTCGTAATTTTTAATTCATACTTTGAATTGAACGGTGATATTAAAAGGAGACAAACTAAGAGACAGAGAGAGAGAGAGAGAAATAGAGAGATAATAGTACTTGTTGTTTCAAATCAGCTGTTCGTAATTTTTAATTCATACTTTGAATTGAACGGTGATATTAAAAGGAGACAAACTAAGAGACAGAGAGAGAGAGAGAGAGAGAAATAGAGAGATAATAGTACTTGTTGTTTCAAATCAGCTGTTCGTAATTTTTAATTCATACTTTGAATTGAACGGTGATATTAAAAGAAGACAAACTAAGAGACAGAGAGAGAGAGAGAGAGAGAGAGAGAGAGAGACAGAGAGAGAGAGAGAGAGAGATAACAATACTTGTCGTCTCAAATCAGCTGTTCGTATTCTCGGATTCATACTTTGAATTACGATGATATTTAAAAAGAGAAAGACAGACAGACAGATAGACAGACAGACAGAGAGAGAGAAAGAGAGAGAGAGAGAGAGAGAGAGAGAGAGAGAGAGAGAGAGATAATATTTGTAGTTGTTTGTCAAATCGATTTTTTGTATTCTCGAATAAATGCTTCAGATTTATAATAGAATAAAATTAATCTTGTATTAATCTTATTGATTTATCGGCGCTATCCTTATCGATCTAACAAGTATCCGAGGAAATTACTTTCGTTACTAGTTGGATAAAAATTGTTGATAAAATCTAAATGATATAATCGATGAGATTGTATTTACGACGTATAAATATACACACGTACACGCATAAAGCACGTGCGCACACGTACACACGTTGATTGAAACTTTTACAATTTTTTCTTCGTTACTTGAAAGTTTATATCATATCTGGTTCGTTTGACATTTTTTTTTTTTTACTTGCCTTTCTTTTTCTTTTTTTTTTTCTTTTTTTTTCAATTAGAAAATTCACTTTTGTATCATCTTGCTTTTTTTTTTTTTATTATTATTATTTTTTTTTTCTTCGTTCGAACGTGAACAAAAACTCAATTTATAAAGTCGAAGAAAATATCTTGCAGTACAATATCGAAATATTGTATCGATAATTCTAAGATAATAAATATATATAAATCAAAAGTAATCGTAATGCTTTATTAAATTATTTATTACCTATATCTGTAATTATATTTCACACGAGCATAAATATTATGTTATAGCGTGTAAAATCAATTTCAAAATATATATATATATAAATATTAAATTTTACTCGTAACGACTGAAAACAACGTTATCGTATTGTTATAAAATTATATCATTAATCGCGAATTCATTGAACTTATTATTATTCGTCATGATATTTTATGATAATTGAATTATTTGAATAAAAGAAAAAAAAAAAGAAAAAAAAAAAGAAAAAAGAAGAGGAAAAAAGAATTATAAACAATGATGATAATGATAAGAAAATATACATATATGATATATTTCTCTCTCTCTCTCTCTCTCTCTCTCTCTCTCTATACTTCTCTCTCTCTCTATACTTCTCTAACTTACGGGTATATGGTATGTATCACGTGTAGAAAAAAGACAAAAGAAAAAAAGAAAGAAAGAGACGAAATAAAAATAAAAAAAAAAATAAGAAAAGAAAAGAAAAGAAAAAAAACTGAAAAGAGAACAAAAAAAATATCTGCCTCGATTTTGCGGCGGTGAAAGATCGGTTTAATCTCTCTCGATGTTACGTACGTATGTATGTATATATGTATGTATGTACATATATATATATATATATATGTATGTATGAATGTATGAATGTATTCCCCCTACATGGTGCAGGTTTACGAAGTTTTGATTTCGGTCTTGCGGTTCCGTTCTATACCTACGCACTTACATTACATACATATATACATACATACAATTATATATAAATATATACATATATATACATATATATATATATATATATATATATATATATATATATATATATATATATATACTGTCTTTTTTGTCTGTCTTTGTCGTGATCATCGATGCACGTAAGATAATTCTCAGATCGTCTATAACTATAATATAATACATGCCACTTGAAAAAAAAAAAAACACACCCACTCTGTGTTGAAACATAAACGTACTAATATACATACATTACACGCGTACACGTATACGCACACATACACATACACATGCATATGTGAATGTATGTATATATTTGATGTGTATACACATATGCATATGAATATATGTATGTGAATATATGCAAATATACATATATTCACAGTTTTTGTGTGTGTGTGTGTGTATCTGTAAAAGTATATGAATGCGTAAAAACTTTCAGTGTTACGTAGGTATAAGTCATTTGAAAAGATTCAACTATTAACACACGTGTAGAAATGTAACCTGTAAATATGTCAACGAGGAGAACGATAAATATAATTATTCGAGTAAGTGATACGTTACTTATTCGAAACTATTCACTCAGTTGCGTTAGATAAAGGCCAAGATAAATAACCTCCAAATATCTTAATTGAAAAACATTTAAATTCTGCTTCCGTATTCTTTGTCACTTAACGAATAAGTAAATGTATTTTTTATTTTATTATTTTTTTTTTCTTTGTTTTTTCTTTTCCGTATTTCTTTTTTCTTTTTTTTTTTTCTTCGACGCTTTTGAAATATCCTATTATCGACTCATGCGCGTGCCCGTGTGTTTTCGCTTGTAAAATATATCATAAGTAAAACAAAACATTTTAAAAATACTTTTTTTAACATTCTAATTTATATTATATAATATATAATATTCGTTTGAACGTTTATATATACATATATATATATAAATATATATATTAATATAAATACTTATTTAATATATAAATCTCTAAATATCTAAATTTAAATAATTAAATCTTATTACTTTTACGTCACTTCGAAGACGATCTGTAATGAACGTGAAAAATAAAAAAACAAAAAAAAAAAAAGAAAAAGAGAAGAAAAAAGATGAAAAAGGAAAAGAAAAGTAAAGAAA